ACTACGAGATCCTGCCACGTGTACGATCACGATCCACTGCCCGTTTCTCCTTTCCTGTCTATTCCACTTCACTTCACCATGTGCCCCGCCACCTCTCGAGCCCCGCGCAGCACCACCAACCCTTCGCGATCGGCTCTTCCCATGGTCGGTCTCTTCACTCGCCCACCTTTCGCGGTCGGCCCTCCCCATGGTCGGTCTCTCCACTTGGCCACCCTTCGCGGTCGGCCCTCCCCCTGGTCGGTTTCTCCCCTCGGCCACCCTTCATGCTCGGCTCTCCCCAGGGTTGGCCCCACACTCGATCGCCTTCGCGGTTGACCCTCCTCATGATCGGTCAACCCTCCTCATGATTGGTCACCATTCGTGGTCGACCCTCCTCATGATCGGTCCCCATTCGCGATCGGCCCTCCTCATGGTCGGTCCTTCCACTCGGCCACCTTGCGCGGTCGACCCTTCTCATGGTCGGTCAACCCTTTCACAACCCTCATTTTCTTTATTATTTCCTTCGTTGGACTAAAGCTGCACTTGGGAATGGGAGACTACTGACATGGGTAAGCCCATAAAGATTATAGCCCACTATTCAGGGCCCAATACATAACTCAAATGCTAAAACCTAGCACTGCTGAAGCCCCATGTAGTAATAAGAACCAATGACACCAAGACACGTGGCGAGAGAATGGCAAGCCACATCAGTAGACAAAGATCTGCAAAGTTATTGCCACGACACATCGCCATTAATGAGGCCCTTTACAGCATTTATTGCGATAACCCCTCTTCGTCGGAACAGAACGCCTTCACCATGAACAAGGTAAGCTAGAGCATAGACTTTCGGCCAAGGTGACAGGTCAGAAGGGGCAACGAAATGATTACCAGAGGATATAAGCAAAGGTCGAAGACAGAAAGAAGGTTAAGCTTTTTATCTCTAATCCATCACTACATTCCACTTCTCTTTCTAACTTAATTGTCGGAGGGTTCGCTGGGGGACTCCTTATTTCCCGTTGAACTCGTGTGCAGGTCTTCCGGTGGGCTTGGTCATTCGGACGAAGGATTGAGGAGCGTGGATCAGTCTGACCCGTTCCGCTTGGAATGAACTGTATCATCAATATCCATAAATTCTATAAACAAAAGAAAAACAATGCAATAATCAAATCATGATTGTAAATCGCTTAAATCTATAATAGTTCTGCATTGCTAACCATGCAAATTGACTTTAAGGTTGCGGATCTAAGATTTGAAGAGAGATTATTATAGGGAAATGAAAGGAAAAGTGACATCAAGAAATTTTTAATAAAGTTTTCGCGAAGCAACACTTATGCTGTGTTTGGTTGAGGGATTTGAAGAGGGATTTGGAAAGAGAAATGAAAAAGGTATGTGAAATGTGAAAAAAATATGCCTACATTTCACATAGTTTCACACACCTTTTCCTTTTCCCTTTTCCTTTCCAAATCCTTCCCCAAATCCCCCAACCAAACATAGCGTTATAGATCATGAATTCATGATTTTACATTGCTTCAATTCTTGATAAGGAGATTTGGTCAAAACTCCCTTTTAATAAAATTTTAATATATTAAGGACAAGTACAAAAAGTTTTTCTTAAAAAATCTAACAAATATCACTATTATCAAAATATTAAATTTTAAAATAATATAATTTTTAGTGTAGATGTCGGTTTTTAATAAAATTAATATTTTTAGAATTCTTTAATTAAGATCTATCAAATAAGATCCATATTGACTATGAAATTTTTTATTAAAAAAAATTATTATTGTTGAAATTGATGTAAATAGCAACAGTAAAATATTACTCTTTTTGATAATAACATATTATTCTTTCTCATAGTAACGTTTTACTCTGTTTGACAATTACTCTATTTGACAGAAACATGTTACTCTAATTCACAGTAATATGTTACTCTGGTAATATTATCCAAGAAATCAATTATGTATTTTTTTTTCCTTAGGAGGCTTATGAAAAAAAATAAATTGGACAATTTTTTCACCAAACAAAAGTCTAATACAGGAGTTTTTGACTAAATTTCCCTCCCAACATCAATTTGTTCCAGAATTAAAGGACTGATTGGTATCATTTTCTTCTTTTTGTGTTTTCAAAAACAAATAATTTCGTTAGCAGGGCAAACAGGCTATAAATTTTTATAGTAAACTCATAACTTTTAAGAGCAATTACTGGAAAGAAAAAACTTAGTAGTGATTAAAAAACAGTCATACAGTTCGACTAAACAGAATCAAAACGATCCCATTTGTTCAGCTAAATAATACTGAATTTGAATTATTCGTTCCATTGAAGTTATCTCAACAATACCAGTTTGTTCTGTTGGAAGTATCTGAACAAAAACAATTTGGTTAGCAATTTAGTTCCAAACTGGCTAGTAGAGATGTAATTGGTTTGGTACGATCGGTATTTAGGTAAAAAATTATACCGAACCGATAATGCCGGTTTTATTAATTTGAATACCGATACATTTCGTTTCTCCCATTAAACCACACTGAAACCAAACCGTTGAAACGGTTCGATTTGGTACGGTTTAATCGGTTTAGGATTTTTTAAACTTGAACTACTTTTAAATATAATTATTAATCTATATAAAATTGTTAAATTAGTTATTTGTCTATCATTTCAAACATATCCAATCCATCCATTTAATATATACTTTTTAATTCCTAAATTAACAAAAATAAAAACAAAAAAATGTTTAAAAGTACTAATTTCAAGAATAATGAGTTAGAGTTAAGATTATATATAAAAAGAGTTTACAAACTTAGGTTATAAAGATGCTAAGGTTAATTATTTATTATACTTATTAATATCATTATATTGTTAGATTATATATATATATTATAAATACAATATATGTCGAAACGGTCGATTTCGGTTTAGATCGGTGCACAAGGTGCTTAAATCGATACTGAACCGAAAATTAAAAAAAATTAAATTTGAAGATCGCACAGACCAATTCTTATTAAAAAACATATCAAATATAGCTGGTTTGATCCAGTTCAATCGATTTGATTGATCTTTTCGATTATTCTTACATTTCTACTGACCATCCAACTATAAAATCGACACTCTCTTTTGCAAACCATTTTTCTGAATCAATAATCAAAACTCATGTTAAATATAAAAATATTAAAAAATAAAAATAAAAATTTCAAAAACAAGATTGTGAGAGGAACCTCGAGTTTGGAAGCGTGACGATGCTTCGAACTACATGTATGGCTTCCAACTTTTTTAGCAATGCTTCAAAATATTGTCAGTGGGAGTGGAGAGTGAAGGTTTTAGGGGACAGGAATGAGGGTTACCAGAAAATGGTGGGTTCTCATAAAATTGTTGCGATTTTGGGGTTAGTGGACGCTGTGCTTTTGGGTGAGTCTATGGATGTGAGTGTGCAAAAAGTTAGTGTTAGTCTTGATATTACATGAGATGATAAAAAATTTTCTATAATTTCAAAATTATCGATAAGGTCCAAAGAAATAAGGAGTCTTAAAAAATTATATGGGAGCTAATAATTTCCCACACCTAAATAATTTTTTTTAATTTTTTTTTTAAGAACAATTGTCATAACCAAGGGCGGAGGCACGTGAGGTCCAGAGGGGTCACGTGTCCCCCCTCAACTTTTGAAAAATTATTTTTTTGCCTCTAATAAAAATATAGATTTCAATTTAATCCAAGTAATATCTTGAAATTTTTATGTCACAAATTTCTTTACTTTTTTTTATAAAAAAAAAATGTTTGATTTATCACTTTAAATGTTTAATTATGCTAAAAAAAATTCTTATAAATTTTATAATAGAGAAATGTTATATATCACTGATATTTTGTCATTATTTTATATCACGTCTTATACAACACATAATTATTACACAATTAATAACAATTAATAATATATTGTCATGTAATTCAATTATTTAAAACGATGAAAAAAACAAGTAGTATATAATAGCCTCTATATATTATTTATTCATCTTTTTCTCATGTCTTTCTCTATCCTCACTATATCTCTTTATGTGTGTGCATCTTAATATAATTTTTTTTTTCGTATTTTATGAGGGTATATGTAATTATTTTTTAAACCGTGATGATAGTCATATATAAAATAAATTAATAACAATAAAGATAATGATTAGTTAACTTGACCTTATATTTAAATATAACTTTTGCGTCTTTTAGTCCTACCGTCAAATAAAAATTAAGTTAAATTATGATTTTTGTTAAGATTTTAATTCAAAGGTGTCCCTTCTGAGCCAAAATCCTAGCTTCGCCATTGGTCATAACCTATGAAGTACAAGTACGAGTATAGTACGAGTATTGATATTGGTATGATACGGGTATGTTGATATGGTAAAATTTAAAAAAGTAAGATACCGGTAAGGCTTTGGTACATTTGTAAAAAAATATTTATTTTTAATTTGAAATAATACAAAAATTAATTAAATGGATTAATTTGTTGAGATCCAACCTACAATTAATATTTAATGCCAAAAGTAAATGTATAAACCAAAATTAGATGTTATTATATTAAATAACTTATAAATCCTAACTTAATTTTAAAATCATACTAAATATAAAACTAAAAATAAAAAAGAAATATAATGAAAGAAATTTTATCTCTATAGTTTAAGGAAATATTGTTTCAACTGAGATATAGTACGGGCTTGAGTATATATTAGATACATCTTCACACATTAAAAGTTAAGAAAAAAAATTTGAATATGTGTTTCGTATACTCGGTACGTATGCAGAGTACCATACAAAATATCATACGGTGATAAGTATCAAATACTAATACGACATATTTGTTAAAATACTCATACTTCATAGGTCATAGCCAACATCTAAAGCCACACAATCATCTAGTGGCGATAGTCGCGTTTACGTGGTTTGAATTGGACTTGTCACAGCGAACATTCTGTTTGTATTTCCTAATGTACTCCACCTGATTGGTCTCCCTGTTCCCCATATAATAAGTCTATATATCCAATGCTTGTGACCTGAAAACTAACACACACACAAAAAAAAAAACCTATAATTAAAGAAGCCATGTAGCCACCAACCCTCTCAACAGTAATGCCATCCCAGCCACAACTCACCTCTCACACATTTACTCAGACCATGCCCCACTCATTTCAATTTCTTTTCCTCTCAAATGGGTAATGACCAGCTCCCACAATGACTCTGCACCACCAAGTGAGTAACTGTGAAGTCCTTCCCTCCAAAGTCCCCTCATACCATACCAATGGCTCTACAACATAGCCCTGGAAGTGATTCTGATGAAGCTAACCACCGAGTACACAACCAAAGCATAGTAGTTCCTGCAAACCTCATTTCCATAGCAGATAGCTTTGAAAAGAAAGAGCATTCATGGTAAAAACAAACACTCATCATCCTATTGTCCTAACAGTTGATGAAACATAGCTTCTTATTCCTAGAGAACAAGTTTATCAGAAATTCCTCGCCACAAGCCTAAGATCCTACAATCAATTTTAACAGCTTTTTCCCTTGGGCTATATTTCGATCATTGACTTGTGGTGGGAAAAGTCAAGAAGAAAATGAAGTGAAATAAGACTTTATTTTTTTTTTTACTTTCCACTTGATAAATCCATGATCTGAACATAGCACAAATTTGTGTTGGTGTGATCGTGCAGGTTTGTCACTTCTGAAATCCCAACAGATATAGCAATTCAAGTTCAAGAAATCACCTTTCATGTTCACAAGGTAACAACACAGACCTGGTTTCAAATTTCAAGCAAGTGAAATGTTCAAAGTATGGTCTTTTCTCAACAAAGTGAAACAAAAGGGACAAAGTAATACAAAACTTAAAGCAACAAATGTTTTGTCCAAATACAAATAAAATTTAATGTTATTATTCTTCTTTCCATTAACTTATGATCCTTATAGTTTATATTTAATTCAACATTGAGAATCAAACTAAGAAGTAACATTCTCAAAAAAAATTGCCATCTATTCTCTCTTTTGTTCTTTTTATAGATTTACCCAATAGAACATAACCTTCATTTCTCTACTCTCTTTGTGAGAACTAATATAAACATTTTGCTGTGCATGGAGGAGATTTTCTGTGGACGACTTTTTTTGGAAAATGTTTTTAGCTGAAACGAAACAAAATGAGCTTCAAGTGTAGCATTTTTCCACTAACCTTTATTTTCTGAGCAGATTAGAATCACTTTTGAAACAAAATCAAGCAGCATCAACAAACAATTCTCAACCAAAAACCTTCAATCCTAGGGCATAAGGTATACCTAAGTTTTAGGAGTTCATCAAACAATCTATGAACAAATTAGTGAATCTGCAGAATAAGAAGACTGGAATCAGAACAACCTTCTTGATTGTGCTAATTTTCAGTTTCGTATAATATCTGAGCAAGCTTTTAATATAATCTAGACTTGTTGTGTCCCTAAAACATCAATACTTTGTTCTCTTGAGGAATAAAATCAGTTACTGGTCTAATTCTCCTGAAACAGTATCCATTGGTTTCAAGATGTGGCTACCTAGCCCAAGTCGAACTCTGGCCATTGAACTCAAATTTAGGATATGACTTGAAGCTCGAAAACTTCCCAGGTGGATCAGAAACATTTGAAATCATTCTAAAATTCTGTTATGGTCTCCCCATAGGCCTAAATCCTAGCAATGTCGCTGCACTGAGATGTGCATCGGAATTTCTAGAGATGACTGAAGCACTTGAAGATGGAAATCTCATTTCCAAGACAGAAGCTTTCCTCACATTTGTAGTCCTTTCTTCATGGAGAGACTCTGTCACTGTTCTCAAATCTTGTGAAACTCTATTTCCATGGGCTGAAAACCTCCAAATCGTACGAAGATGCTGTGACTCCATTGCTTGGAAGGCTTCTCGAGAAAATCCAACAATTGGAGAGATGATTAATGAAGAGAGCTGGTGGTTTGAAGATATGGCTACCCTACGCATTGATCATTTCATGAGGATCATAACAGCATTAAGGGCCAAGGGGATGAATCCAGAAATTATCGGTTCATGTATCATGTACTATGCAGGAATATGGTTGCCAGGCATGGAGGTAGAATGGGAAGGACTACGACGATACAGTTACAGCAAAAATGAACTGCAGTTAAAAATTCTGAGTGGAAGGAGACAGGAAGGGAATGTTGGACACAATAAAGAGCAAAGGATGATTGTAGAGAGCTTAGTGAGCATACTGCCTCCACAGAAAGAAGCTGTTTCATGCAAGTTCTTACTGAGGATGCTAAAGATGGCTTTGGTGTATTCAGCATCACCAGCTTTGATTTCAGAGCTTGAGAAAAGAGTTGGGATGGTGTTGGAAAATGCTAATGTAAATGAACTTCTTATTCCTAGTTGTACAATCGGAGATCAGGGAAAGCCATTGAAGTGAGTATTCCATCTTATTCATCCTAGCATGTCTAATCTACAGTCTTTACATACGAATTTGTATAAAATATTTCACAATGGCCAGTTTTATTAACACCCCAGTCAATAATCATTAACTGCTAGCCCAGTTCACCAGATCAATGCACAATGCACAACATAGATGTGGTGCAGAGAATTGTAGAATATTTCCTTATGCATGAACAACAACACCAACACCAGCAGCAGCAGCAACAGAAGTCTGGAAAATTGACCATCAGTAAACTTTTGGACAGTTATCTAGCTGAGATTGCAGGAGATCCCAATCTCTCCATCATCAAATTTCAAGCTCTAGCTGAAGCATTGCCAGAAAATGTTCGAACATGCCATGATGGTGTCTATAGAGCCATTGATACCTACCTCAAGGTTCCGTAAATTCCCTCACTATCTGTGTCTTTTTTTTCTTTCTTTTTTTCCCCTATCTTTTAAGCAAATAACCTGAAGCCTAATCTTCTGATCTTCCCTGTAGTCTCATCCTTCTTTATCAGAACACGAACGAAGAAGACTATGCAAAATAATGGATTGCGAGAAGCTGTCATTCGATGCATGCATGCATGCCGCACAAAATGATCGATTGCCTTTAAGAACCGTCATGCAGGTAAAATTCACGAGTGATTGTGATCATACATTTCATGTATGCCAGTACCAGTGCGTTCCACAAAAGCTTCCATTAAACTCTTCAAACTGCAAAATTCGTTTCTTATATGAGTTCTACCAGTGTCCTCCAATTACATGGTTATATACAAATTCCTGAAAGAAATAAATAGTGTCATAACTTTAGGTGCAACTTCAGGAGCCTCCATGAAATATACCTTAAGTCTATAATTGGATTAGGAAACACTGCCGTACAATGCCCAATTTAAGGCACAAATATACAATTAGAAGTTCATCAACCCACTAACCAATAAACAAACAACATCATGACTAGATATTAGAATTGTATATTATCCATGTACAATAGATATAAGAGGGCTTGACTTGAGCCAAAACAAGCCAAGCTAGTGCCTGCTACTACTGCATATGATACCAATATAATATGCTGTTATGTAATACCAAAGTGCCAAGATAAAGTTTGTATCAAAAACTTTTTAAAGTACCAAACCAACAGCCAATGATCAAATTTTCATTTTGTTCTTCTGATAATTAGGACAGTTCCAAAAAAAAAAAAAAAAAAAAAAGGGAAACTTTCCAGAAATGCTACAATAACAGCAAAAGCAATTTGGAAACGTATGAAAATTGCTATCAACTCGCACTAGGTGCTATCAACTCTTTGGGGCCATGTTTGCAGGCTCTGCTTGAGATTTGCCCGATCTATGCAGAGGGAACACTTTGTGTGGGTCTTGACATTAGTTGAGGTGCGCGTAAATTGGTCCAGACACCCGGTTATCCAATAAAAAAAAAAAAGGTATGAGAACATTTGAACAACATAAAATAAGACCTATTTAAAACCGAATAAATTTGGAGTTTATATATTCACTTAAATAACAAAACCAAGTCTTGTATCCAATCAAGTGAAATCGGCTACATAAATTCCTTTTCACCATTTTGCTCTATCAAGGGCTATATGCTTAGTTAAATTAAAGGTAAATTTGGGTTCAGAAAAACCATTAATACTATTGTAATGCTACTAAATGGCAATGTCTATATATTATCAAGAACGCATGCCTATATAAAGTCTACCTTGTGTACACAGACCCGCAAAAACATAGTATGAATAAACGCGGTGAGTTCAGACAGTACAACAGTCCATTTATTTCTCAAAATCTACCCCTCACAGGTTTTGTTGTTGGAGCAAGTAAAGATGAGGTCAGCAATGCAAGGGAAGGAGCAAGCAGGATGCGCTGACAATTCCGATCAGGAAGAAAGTCGGTCTCATGCAAAGGAGATCAAGATCCTCAAAGAAGAACTTGAGAAAGTAAAAGCAGAACTGCAAGAGCTGCAGATGGCCTACACTGAGCTGCAAAGAGAACATGAAAAGCCAAACAATAAGCAGAGAAATTTTTCAGGTTGGCCCTTTAACTGGAGGAAAATCAAGAACTCAGGATTTTTTCACGGAAAAGTGGATGGTGATGAAACTAGAGACAGACTGCAGACATGTAACAGGGTTAGTCTCCGCCGAAGGCTCTCTCTCTCCTAAGAATTCTGAAAATCAATAATCTTACACTATAATTTCCAACATAGCCAAAAGACAAGACAGAATCATCTACATCTTCTTCCCAACGTTGGTTTGTTTTGCAAATAAGATTCGAAGCATATTTGATAATTGTTATCTCAGTCTAAATGTATGGTTTGAAGTTGAGTGGGGTAAAGCGATATCCAGGAACATTTGAGGGGGTGTCTCTAAAATTATTAAATTATTTAATATGTGGTATTTCAGCCTATTATATATTGTCCTCAATGTAACATAATTCCATGGTTTTTCGATTAGTAGACAGTTCAAACAGAAAGACAAAATCTTTATCACAACTTTCTCTAAGAAAATTGCTTTACTTATCATAAGGAAAAAAAAATACTATTAACATTCAATACAGCCTGTTAGATAATATAATGTTGACTGCATATGACTTTTAGGGTGATCATGCAAGGCAAACAAAAAAAAAAAAAAAAAAAAAAAAAAAAAAAAAAAAAAACCACCACCCCAAAAAACCAAAAAAAAAAAAAGAAAAGAAAGAAAGACCACCTCCCAAAAAAAGCCACCAGATGTGAAGCAAATGCTTGTGCAGAACATTATGTACTATTAGCTATGGCAATATCATTTGGAGTATGGCAATTCCATATGGAGTATATGCAAGACATGAACATTATGTAAAACTCATTGCAGGCCAATTTTCTATTGCTTGTCCTCGACATGAACATTATGTAAAACTCATTGCAGGCCAATTTTCTATTGCTTGTCCTCTGTATGGCTGTATCTTGGTCCAAATTACAGATTCAGAGCTGCGGAAAAGCCCAAGGAATAAACACAAACAAACAAGCAAAACAAAATAATTCTACTCAGGATCATAAACTGACACACCAGCACTAGAGCTCATCCACCAGTGATTTTAAGCCAACAATCTAAAAAACAAACTTCTATTGCTTAAACCAGCAAAGTTGAAGCATTTGAGATATTCAAACAGTGTTTCAGACCTCAGAAGATGAACTCATTAAAATTCTTCCAAGTTCATTATACATGTTTTTCTATGATGAAGTGAACATGAGCCCAATCAGATATACAATTCAAAGTACAATGAATTTCATAAAAGAAAAGCATGGATTACCTTCTTAATTTGCTAAGCTAGTTATCATTTTTGTACACCTCCAAACAATATTTTGGAACTCCACTCTACACAAAGTCAAAACAATTTGAAACAAATAAACATCTTATCAATCGGTGCAAATGTAATAACTCCCCTATTATCGTGACGCTTATGATTCCTTCTTCTTAATGCGGTATGGGTATTTCTGGTATATTGAGATGCTGCTAATGACAAGTGGAAAAGCCACTAGGCAGTACAATGAAGGTGCTTTTCCATCAAAGATAAACTGCAACAAGGCTGTGACAAGAAGTGCGGAAACAATGACAAATCCCTGCACACATTTAAAAACATAAATAAATCAAACAACTGTTGCAGTGGTAAAGTAAGTCTTACAATCTTTAAGTCCTTTGGATTTATATCCTTAACAAATAGGCGATCTGATGAAAAATGACAAAATGCTGCAAGGCCACCACCACGAAACATGACCTTGTGCAAACATGTTGCTCAGTTGCAAGTCAATCATTTTTTATCATTTTTATTCTAAACTTTCAGCAGATTATCCATTCTGACACATTCGATGGCCACAATTTCTATATGGAAACCTTTACAAGAATTGTCAATTTCCACTAATAACATCTGTGCCATTGGAACAGTACATTTGAACAGCCTGACTTATTTGAGTCACAAATGGATAGCTTCAATCTATGAGAAGCAAAGAGCTTAATTAAGAAACTTGAATTTCTCTTTTTGATTTTTTATACAATAAATATAACAAATAGAAAAGTTCTGGCAAGGGTAATGCTGTTTAATCTCCATTCTTTACATCCATACTGCAACGTAGAAAATCATCTATGCTTAAAGGATCAGACATACCTTTCGGACGCCACCAGCATAGGATGTAACCAGGCCAACAAGAATTCCACCAACAGCATTGAACATAACAGGTATCTGAACAGAATAAAACCAACTAGTTTTAAGTCTCTTAAACAATGGCAAATAAAAAGCACACAATGACATGCATTAACTATTTTGACAAAGATAGGCAAAACCAACTTTAACAACCCCTGCACACTCACCACACACACACACACATATATATAAATTATGGGGGTAGGAGAGCAAAATTTATATTGCCTAACATATACAAGCATCAACTCCTCCATGTTGAAACTACACCAGCTTCAAGTATCCACTTAATCAGACAGAATTTTTCAGAAGTACTAAGCCCGCTATAGAATGACAAAAAAATCTGGTGGTTCTCAAGTATCCACTTAAAAACACATATGTATGTATATTATTGTTACTGCCTGAGTTTTCCAAGAAATATTTACTTTAATGTCTATAGTGTTCTCAGTCATGCGCCCATGCAACTAACCTGATGAACAACTTATAACAGTCAAAAGGATCAAATATCGTTATCATTACCAAAGTTAGTGGGGTCCAACCATATAAAAATCCATGCTTTCTGATGGCTTCTCCATCTGGAGACTTGTAGGTACTAGCCAACAAGCACAGGCTTCCGACTATAGACATTTCCACAGTCATCAAGTATGATGTGTGTTTCTTAACCTGTAAAAAGAAAGAAAAAAATGTGGAGGTATAAGCAGCTGGAAGACTTCTACTCAAAACAAAGTTACAGAAACTTATGCTAACCTGAGAAGCCCATTGACACAGAGCTGAAGCCAGGCCAGATAATACAGACGCCACTAAGACCGGAATTATTCCATAGAACAAAATTTGATCAGGTTCACTGCTAGTTGAACCTTTGCCAGAGCTTTCACCAATGCTCAAAAGGACAGCTGCCATTATCAACAAAAAGAGGGCACCAATTTGTTGAATTGATTGCCTCTGCCTACAGATTGAATCCAAAAAATAGACAAAAGGCTCTAAGAAACCTGAGCAGTCACATTCCTAAAATATTTACCTGTTAAATCCACATAAACAAATTATTTATAATAATGGTTCAGGTAAAACAAGCATAGTATGTCCTTTTTCATTCTCATGCAATTACAGTCCAAAAAAGGAAAATCTAGCAAGTCTTTTGTTGAAGAAAATGATTTGCTCCTATTACAGTCAACAAATAATAAGAAACAAAAATGTCAAAAACAATCATTATACTTCAAGGGGAAAACCAAAAAGTGGTTTGAATATCGGAAACATGAATTAAAAAATGGATAAGAATGACACTGAAATATTGGAAATAAATAAAAAGGACTTCAACAACATATAAATAAAAAATAATAAAAACAGGGTTTGACTTCGGTAACAAATCAAACTCTAACTTTTTAATAGTTTCGATTAAACTCTGAATTTTTAGAATAGTATCAATTCTAACCATCCAAAGGCAATTTAGCCAATTTAGCCAATTTTTATCGGTGGTGCTGGACATTGACAGTGGCTATTGACTGGGGAAAGAAGGCGAGGAGTGGCAATAAGCTAGGGAATGGAAGGAGTAGCGATGGTTGGGGTAAAGGAATGGACAGATGGCAGTGGATTGGGAAAGAGAAGGGGTGGTGATAGACGGTGGTAAGGGTGTGAGGTGGCAGTTAACAGTAATGAAGGAAAAGAAGTGATTAAATTGTCAAAATTGCTCATTCCCCATTAGGTATAACTAACAACAAATACAAATGGGTGGTTAGAATTGATACACTTTTGAAAGTTCAAGGTTTAAATTGAAACCATTAAAAAGTTAGGATTTGATTTGTTACTGAGGTCAAACCTTGGGGTTTTTTTTTTTTTTTGGTAATTTCTATTCTTCTTTTTTATTATTATTCATATTCGGTTAAAAAGGATAGGAGAGGGCAACCAACTGTAGCAATCCACCTCGGGCATGACCAAAAGAGGCACTACCCGCTTGGAAGCCATACAAGAGGGGTTTAGACGGGCCTAGCAAAGTGGGAAAACTGCAAGACAGGCTTGAAACATAGCCTGAGCCCAGACCTACCAGGGCCCTAGCACGCAGAGAAGCTGGGACGTTTGCTATAAAGTTTCCAAGAACTTAACAGAAAACAATATTATAGGTGTAACAAAGTGGCTTTGCAATTGAAGGGTAAAATATACATTTTTTCAGCTTCTATACTAGGAAGTAACTTGACAATAATATGGGATAAGAATTGAATTGATGGAAATTGTAGAATTATTGGAAGATTTAATTAGTTTGATGATTTGTCAGCATTGTTAGTGGCTAAGATTGAGGAAATCTACGGCTAAGATTGAGGAAATCTACAGCTAACAGATCATGATTTGGTCCCACGATTTTAGGGGATTCTGGTAGTCTGTTACCAAATATGTAGATAGGAGTTTCCTGCTTCATTGCTTTTTGTTTTAGATAGGTTTGATTCTATTCTAGGTAAGTTGTAAATATCCCTATAAATTAGATGAGTATTATCATCTATAAAAGGGGGAATGTAATCCTTTATTTGATATAGTGGAATATTAAGTTTCTCTTCCATAGCGACATGGTATCAGAGCATTCTCTGAACCCTAATTCCTCATATGACCAAATACGGGAGGAGTGACTTAACTGCTTCTGTTTCCCAAATCACCTCCAATCAGGAAGCCATGGCTTCCGACAACAGTAATGCAGATAGTAACCTCATGCCCATTACAGGACACAAACTGAATGGGAACAACTATCTCCAATGGTCCCATTCCGTAATGATGTTCATATGCGGAAAGGAAAAAGACGATTATCTCAACGGAGTTGCGACCAAACCAAACAAGGATGATGAGAAGTTCAAAATCTGGAATTCCGAAAATAACATGGTCATGTCATGGCTCATTAATTCCATGACAAATGACATTGGAGAAAATTTTCTTCTCTACGGAACAACAAAGGAGATTTGGGAAGCTGCCAAGGAAACGTATTCTAACAATGAGAATACATCTAAATTGTTCGAGGTAGAAAGTGTTCTCCATGACTTCTGCCAAGGAGATTTAACGGTGACTCAGTACTTCAACAGACTCAACCGCTACTGGCAACAGCTGGATTTGTTCGAGGAGCACAATTGGAGCTGTCCTGATGATGGAATCAGGTATAGACAGATTATTGAACGAAAAAGAATATGCAAATTTCTGATTGGATTAAATAAGAATCTTGATGAAGTACGAGGGAGAATCTTAGGATCCAAACCACTGCTGAATATCCGGGAAGCATTTTTAGAAGTTCGTAGAGAGGAGAGTCGAAAGATCATGATGGGCTCTCAAGAATCTGTGAGAGCTCAGCCCTTGCAGTTAGAGGAAATCCATACAACAACAATACCAACAGACCAAAAAAAGGACGTCCATGGTGTGATCATTGCCGACGTCCTGGTCACACCAAGGACACCTGCTGGAAAATCCATGGCAAACCTGCAGATTGGAAGCCTTCCCGGTTTGCCAATGACAAAGAAGGATGGGGCAATCTCGTCTTGGTGGATGAAAAACCATCAACCAAACCCACTCCCTTCAGTAAGGAACAACTAGAAGTATTATAGAAACTGTTCAGCTAATCATTGCCTGCCGCTGCCCCCACTGTGGTTGGTACCGGTTCCTTGGCGCACACAGGTAATTTCTTAAGCGCTCTCAATGTTAAAAAGGAGAAGTTAAGTCCAGGATAATAGACTCAGGAGCATCAGATCATATGACTGGAGATGAGAAGCTTTTTTCTACTTATAGTCCATGTTATAAAAATTTAACTGTCAGGATAGTCGATGGTTCACTCTCAAAGGTGGCTGGTACAGGTTCTGTTAGAGTTTCAGAAAACATCACACTTGACTTAGTTCTTCTTGTGCCAAATTTACATTGCAATTTACAGTCCATTAGTAAACTCACTTGGGATCTCAATTGTGTTACTAAATTTGGCTCAAATCTGTGTGAATTTCAGGTCTTGGACTCGGGAAAGATGATTGGCAGTGCTAAGATGTGTTTGGGGCTATATCTTCTCGAGGTTAATGATCCTCCTCAAGGAGCAACTCACCAATCCGATTGTTCAGTGTCCAGTAGTCCTAGTTCTTTCTCTGTTAGTCGTTCTAATAATGATAGTGCAATTATGTTGTGGCACTATAGGTTAAGTCATCCAAATTTCTTGTATAATAAAAATCCAAATGAGTTTTAGTGTGAGATTTGTCAATTTTCTAAACATGTCCGTAACTCTTATCCCAATCAATCCTACAAAGCATCCTAACCCTTTTCAATGATTCATAGTGATGTATCGGGTCCATCTAGAATCAAGAATGTTACTGGTTCTAGCTGGTTTATTTCCTTTATTGATGATCACACTAGACTTACATGGGTCTTCCTCATGAAAGAAAAATCAGAGGCAGGTCAGATTTTCAAAAACTTCAACACCATGATCCAAACACAATTCCAAGTTTGTCAATTTTCTAAACATGTTCGTAACTCTTATCCCAATCAATCCTACAAAGCATCCTAACCCTTTTCAATGATTCATAGTGATGTATGGGGTCCATCTAGAATCAAGAATGTTACTGGTTCTAGCTGGTTTATTTCCTTTATTGATGATCACACTGGACTTACATGGGTCTTCCTCATGAAAGAAAAATCAGAGGCAGGTCAGATTTTCAAAAACTTCAACACCATGATCCAAACACAATTCCAAGCAAAAATTTAGATTCTGAAAACTGACAATGCCAAAGAATATTTCAAATCCATCCTTAATGATTATCTCTTGAGTCATGGTATAGTTCACCAAAGTTCCTGTGTGAACACTCCTCAACAAAATGAAATTGTCGAAAGAAACAACAGGCATCTTCTAGATGTAGCACGCTCTCTTATGTTCTCTACCCATGTACCAAAATTTTTCTGGGGTGAAGCCATCCTCATTGCGGCATATCTCATAAACATGTTGTCATCTCGTATTCTCAACTTCCAAACTCCCTGTCAAATCCTACTTCAGTCCTTTCCCAATACTCATCTCATCTCCACTATCCCCTTCAAAGTTTTCGGGTGCTCAGCTTTTGTTCATGTCCATCAACAACACAGGGATAAACTTGATCCTAGAGCCCTTAAGTGTATTTTTCTTGGGTACTCTCCAACTCAAAAGGGATATAAATGCTACTCACCAGTCACTAAACAATACTATCACTCCATGGATGCCACCTTTTTTGAGTACCGGCCTTATTATCCCAAATCTAATATTCAAGGGGAGCCTAATTTTACCGAGGAATACCAGCTTTGGGATATTGAAGAATCATCTCACCTTTCTCCTAATTCTAACTAATTTCACCCATCACTGAATCCTGAATCCATTCCTCTTCAACATCTCTTCCTAGAATCTCCTTCTCAAGATCAAACCAACAATCCGCCTGTTCTTACTAATCCACCTCAAAATCTGGACACTATTCAATTAGCAAAGAATGATGAGTTGATTACCTACTCACGGAGGAGAAGGAACCAAAAGGAGATGGAACAACAAGCATCTCTTGAGCAAGCCCAAGAATCTGATCCAAGTCCTAGATCAAGTGAAGATCCATCAGGTAACTCTAATCCCGAGACTTCACATAGTGAGTTAACTAATGATGATAGTGATATTCCTATTGCTCTGAGAAAAGGTGTAAGATCATGCACAAAACACCCTATATACACATTTGTGTCATATGAAGGACTGTCACCGAAGTCCAAATCATCTGTTGCCAACCTCGACAACATCCAGGTTCCCAATAACATACAAGAAGCCCTCGGCTCACCTGAGTGGAAATCAGCCATGTATGAAGAAATACATGCACTTGAAAAGAATGGAACCTGGGAAATCTCAAAATTACCAACTGGAAAACGTCCAGTAGGCTGCAAATGGATATTCACAGTCAAATATAATGAAGATGGGAGTATTAATCGATTCAAGGCACGGCTGGTTGCAATGGGATTCACCCAATCATATGGAATCGACTATGAGGAGACATTTGCCCTTGTAGCCAAGTTAAACACAGTTCGGGTTCTACAATCTTTGGCTGCAAATCTTGATTGGCCTCTTCATCAACTAGACGTCAAGAATGCTTTCCTAAATGGAGACCTAACTGAAGAAGTTTACATGGAAATTCCTTCAGGATTTGAGACACAAACTACACGCAACAAAGTTTGTACATTTAGAAGATCTCTATATGGGCTCCAACAATCTCCAAGAACCTGGTTTGAGAGATTCACAAAGGTAGTTAAGAGGCATGGCTATTCTCAATGTCAGACGGATCATACTCCATTTATTAAACACTCTCCTGCAAGAAAACTTGTTGTCCTCATTGCATACGTGGATGACCTAATTCTAACAGGAGATTATGAGGAGGAAATCTACACTATCAAAAGTCTTCTAGCTACAGAATTTGAAATCAAGGACCTTGGGAATCTCAAATACTTCCTAGGCATGGAAATTGCAAGGTCAAGAAAAGGAATCTCTGTCTCCCAAAGAAAATATGTCCTGGATCTCTTAAAAGAGACTGGAATGCTCGGATGTAAGCCGGCAGATATTCCTATGGATTCAACAGCCAAACTAGGAACTAAGGAAAATTTTGCGCCAGTGGATAAAGGCAGATATCAAAGACTAGTTGGTAAACTTATATACCTGTCTCACACCCGACCAGATATTGGTTTTTCTGTTAGCATGGTAAGTCAATTCATGAATAATCCAAATGAAGAACACATGGAGGCAGTTTATAGAATCCTAAGATACCTGAAACTAACACCAAGTAAAGGATTATTTTTTGAGAAGAATCAAAGAAGAGATATTGAAGTATTCAGTGATGCAGATTGGGAGGGATCATTACAAGACCGAAGATCTACTTCATACTGCACATATGTGTAGGGTAACCTTGTTACATGGCGAAGTAGGAAGCAATCGGTGCTATCAAAGAGCAGTGCAGAAGTTGAATTCAGGGCAATGGCACATGGCATTTGAGAGGGAATATGGTTACGGAGGTTGCTAAAGGAATCAAAAAATTTCAGATGAAGAATCTATGAAAATGTTCTGTGATAATCAGTCAGCAATCAGTATTGCCAAGAATCCAGTACATCATGAAAGAACAAAACAAGCGGAGATTGATCGACATTTCATAAAGGAGAAAATAGAAGAAGGGACAATCAAGATGCTGTACGTGCCCACATGTCTTCAAACAGTTGACATTCTTACCAAGGCCCTACCGAGAAAGACGTTTGATGATCTGAGTTCCAAGCTAGAGTTAATAAATATTTACCGCGTAGCTTGAGGGGGAGTGTGGCATTTTTGGAAGATTTAATTAATTTGATGATCTGTCAGCATTGTTAGTGGCTAAAATTGAGGAAATCTACAGCTAACAGAACATGATTTGGTCCCACGATTTTAGGAGATTTTGGTAGTCTGTTACCAAATCTGTAGATAGGAGTTTCTTGTTTTATTACTTTTTGTTTTAGATAGGTTTGATTCTATTCTAGGTAAGTTGTAAATATCCCTATAAATTAGATGCGTATTATCATCTATAAAAGGGGGAATGTAATCCTTTATTTGATATAGTGGAATATTAAGTTTCTCTTCCACAGCGACAGTAACCAACTGAAACAATTGGCCATAGCAGGAGTCCCCTTGATGTCTTCAGTTGTAAAAACATTAGAAGTGCTCAATACTCTAATAGCAATTTATAATTCTGAAGTGTATTTCAGCCACCAAACAGGTACATTTTGTCACATTTTCAAATTCTTGGGCCATGCATTAATAGGATGATTATCATTTATCAACACAAAGGAAATATTTACCAATGCAAAATAATTTCAGCCAACAGACTAACCCCACTTGCATCCAAGTTACAGATCTACAATAACATACCCCAATATTATATATGTAAACAGAGCAGTGAAAAATAGTTTTGTCTGGTTCAGCATTGAGAATGTGAGCGAATCGAGATTTTTGTATGAAATCTGCAGCAGACTATTTTGCAGCGCATAAATAGCTGCTGGCAATCCTGATGCAGTCAATGAACCAACTAAAGTCCACTCCTTGAATAGTTTCCTGAAACCACCTTCTCTTGCAATTAGCACAAGAGCACAAATAACCTGTAAGCGAATGTCAAGTAAATGTCCTTCAATATATTAGATCAAAGACAAAGACAGGAGTTTAGGAGAAAGGACGAAGAATAAAACCTTTGCTATTTCACATGCTAAAACAGATGAAGTCACAATGACTTCCCGTCTGCAAAAATCATCATAGGGGCATAATTAGTTAAGAAAACTGTGTCCACATTTCTCACAGTAGAAGGTACTAGTTAACAAACAAACAAACAACAAATAAAAATTACTTCTCTCAGGTAAATGTTGAGATACATAAACCAGTTTGTCTTCCCATTTCTTCTTATTTGATATTTTTATTTTTTTTTCCCCGTTGAGGGTGGGAAGATGGCAATCAGTTTCTCATAGATACAAGAAGAACAAAAAAACCAATTATTCTGGATATCTAATAGTTTATATAAGCCATTCTCTGTAAAATAAAGGCGACAATTGGAACAGAAAGAACTTCGATGCTAATAGCGTAATTGACTCCCTTGCATGTTACTAGAATGCAAGTGAATCACGCAACATAAAGAAAAAGAACACACACACACACACACACACACACACACACATATATATATATTTTTTAGTGGATGACTTAATTGACCAGCATTAAAGTTCCACAAAAAAAGAACACAACGATACACAATAATGTCCAACATATGTGTCAAATGCTAAACAAGGTGGGATTCGACAAAAACAATGAAACATAACCACATGGCGCAGGTATATCCCTGTCTGATTGTTAGCTAGCACCCTAAGCTTTAGGAATATGTGGTTGGCAAGTGGTGGCACCATGCACCCAAGTCAACCTGACCAAGGTATGAGTGAGGCATGCCAAGACAGCAAGGTGGGACAGAACAGTGGCAACAGCACATTGACACAAGACCCGTGGACAATCAATGCTCATCGAAGCAAATGCAAGGTATAAGGTTGGACTTGGCCTGAATGCTAAGAATGCAGTTTGGCTTGTGGGTGCAATACAATCAATGGGCGAAACTTGGCTTGGCAGCCAAAGACAGGCAAATTTGTGGGTGGCTTGCCCTGACTTAACGAAAAGCAAGTAATGCTTGTCTGACAGTGGTTATCTCTGTATGGAGCAAAAACAATGCAAGGTTGCAATCCAAGAGCAGTTGGCAACAATTACATGCTGGTAGCCTTATATTGGTCCAGCTCAACTTAGGCAGTTGGGTCAACTACAGGGACATGTGGCAATCTGCACATGGACAATTATAACATCCAATAACTGATTGTAATTTGTAACCTACATATAGGGAGCGCCAAAGAATTCTACATTATCAAGTGTTGTAACAGATTGCCTTGGATTCCTTGTAACTACTTGGTGTAAAATATATAAAGTCGGGATTCATCAGTAAATTGTTGTGTTATTTGCCTTACTTTGACAATTTTACTGTAAGTGCGCTTACAAAAATTGACTGAAACTAAGTATCAAACATAGTGCCATCAAAGACAGAAAAATCAGTTAAAAAATTAACCCTGTGATAGTTGGCATTAGAGTTAGGTTGTGCTCTGCAATGGTTGGTGGTAGTGTTGTGCTAGAAGCCGTTCGGGAATGAGTAACTCGAGTGGAAAATTTGAGAGGGATGCCCCTTGATAAGTCACTCTTTGATAGATCAGTTGGATGATGTGGCTAATGGGTTTTTGCCCGTATAGACTTAGACAACAAACTGATTCACAGAAGTGATGGGAGATATGATTGCCATGTCGGATGCCTTAAATTGCAGAATTCAGACAAATTGTCTCCTGTAACGAAAGTCGTTGGTGGGAATTTCAATGGTGGTAATGTCTCTCACAAAGTGAAAGTCTTGAAACCTAAAGCCTTCGGTGGAACTTGAAGTGCCAAAGAGTTGGAAAACTTCCTATGGGATGTTGAGTAGCATTTTAATGTTGCACACATACCAGAGGAAGAGATGGTTACAATCACAAGTATGTATCCAACTAGAGATGCCAAACTCTAGTGGAGAACTCACATTGGTGATGATGTTAGCCGCAAGATTGAGACATGGGGGGCACTGAAAAAGGAATTTAATGAAGATTTCCTTCCCTGCAAAACATCATGGATTTGCAAGGGAGTCTGTGAAATGATTGAAACATACAAGCATTGTGAGGGAATATGTCAAGCAATTCAGTTCGTTGATGTTAGACATGGTGAATATGTCAAAGGAAGACAAGCTCTTCAATTTCATATTTGGTTTGCAAAACTGGACTCGGTTGGAAATGCAAAACGGCATGGTTGCAGGGGTACAAATGAAGATAGAAGACTAGGCTGGACAAGTGAACTTGATGGTGGTTCTGCTGGATGACTTTGATGTCATTCTCGGAAATGATTTCTTTGTGATTGCAAAAGTGGCATTGATGCCATGCCTTGTGGGTCATTGATTTTGGATGAAAATATGCCTTGCTTTGTGCCAGGATGCAATCAACCAGACAAAGGGCAAGAGCGTAAAGAGGATAAACGAGAGACACTGTCTGCTATTCATGTGCACAACCACTTGAGAAAAGGTGTCGAAACTTACCTAGAGATCAAACTTGACCTCAAAGTGGAAGTGACAGATGAAGTGGCTGACTTGTTGACAAAATTCAAGGATGTGATGCCTTCTGAATTGCCCAAGTCTCCTACCACCTAGAATTGGTACCAATCACTAGACTGATTTAGTTCCCGTGCTAAGCCTTTGACTAAAGCTCGGTACAGATTGGGTTTGTTGGATTTGGTTGAATTGCAAAAGCAATTGACAGAGTTGCTGGATGATGCAGGGACGATCCATTGATCTAGCCCATACATTGCTTAGAAAAGGGATACTAAATTGGCTACCCTAGTACCATTGACCATTCCAAGTAATACAGAAAATAGGGCAAGCTGCCTACAAACTTGATTTACCAAGCCACTCCACTCCTGTATCGATCTAGTGTTCCATGTATCATTGTTGAAGAAAAAGGTTGGACAACAAATTCAGATTCAGAGTTGTTTACACCAACCCCAACAGGACTAGCAGATCAATTACAAGTTCAACCACTAGCTATCAGCTCAATTTAGTTGAAGTGGAGTTGGCTCATCTAACAGAAGAGCAGTAAAAATAGCTTTGATGAGGTGGCAGCACATGAATGGTTGGTTAACAAGCAGTAAGTAGTTAGGTAGTATCGTAGTGATGCAATTTAGTGCAGTTTGTAATAATAGATAAGGGTTACAATTCAATTAGGCAGAGATTATTCACATCATGATTTTAGGATTTCAGCTCAAACTTGTTCTAATTATAACCAACCAGGAATGAATGATTTAGTAGTAAGTAAACCGAAATCCAAATGAATGAGCTACAAAACTCATTGAATTAATCAAACTGTGTCTGTCTTCGATTCACAAAATCAAAAAAAAAAAAAAAAAAAACATAGTAGAGATAGATGAAGAATGGAAAAATACCTGACGAAGCGTTTGGAAATGAGAGGCTGAGCACCGTACTGCAAGGTAAGCAATGAGGAGTAGAACCAAACTCTGGAGTTGGAGGTCGTCTGTGAGGCCTTGGGTTTGGTCGCCGCCATAGATGGGCGATCGACCTTAGAGACACACGGTTCTATTAGGGCTTTGTTTGTTAGCTTGCTTTCCTTTTCTTTGCTTGCTTTCTTTCTCTGATATGATTCGCTTCATAACCTTGAACGAACCAACCAACCGACCACGATTTGTTGGACCCGTGTATATAATGCTTTTGCCAGCCAATGATATTGGTCTCGGCCTGCTCGGTTTGTTAAAATGATTTCCACCTGCCAGATCATTACATCCTCATAAAAATTCATTATTTTTAAAATTATTTATAAGTCTTATTAGGGAAAGTTATGTTATGTAAAGTTCTATGAAATTTCTTATTGAGTGTGAAGTCCTATTTAAATTAGAAAGTGTTCCATTAAGTCCTATCTATTGTGTTTTAATAGAATTAATATACTATTATACCCTTGATATATGTTGCAATGTTTTAACCGTTTTGTTTCCATATTGTTTGGTGCCATGATATGCGCTATGATTGCGGAGTCTGTTAAGTTTTCAAAATTGTGTTGGGTTGGATGGTTTGGTTGTTTCATCTTGCCGCTTTGGAGTCAGATTGTTTAAAGAAATGAGATCAAGTTGTCTGCTTATTCAATTAGTGAGTGTTGCTCTAGTTTTTTTTCCGAATGTTTTGTTTTCAATGTCCTCATATATATCGTATGGATTTCACAATCTGTCATAGCAATCCATTGGCACACTTTGTTATGGTAATCTTGGATCAACATCCGTGGTAATGATATTGTGTTATAATGTTCACATACATGTCACATTATGTTTCGTAATAGTATTTTACGATAGCTTATTAGATTAGAAAGTAAGAATGTGAGAATGTTGCTGGGTTCTGCGAAATGGTACATCCATACATTGGCGCAATTCTGTAGATTCGATGGCTGTTACGTGCGTAATGGTCTGTGTTACATTCGTTTGTATTTAAATTGTGTTTTGCAGTTGTGCTATTTTTTCAAAACATATGTGTCACATTACGAATCACAAAATTATTGAGCTTCATTTTTTTTTCTTCTCAATGTCATATTTGCTTGTCTGTGGATACTATTGGAATGTATGTGAATGTAACTCACATACACATGGACATGAGCATGGTTTTTGTATTGTGTTGTCTGATTTTTGTATTTACTGTGGACATATGTGTCACATTTCGTTTCGCAAACTCTTTGGTTTCTATTTTTTACAATTGAATGTGACAATTGTATCGGTTAATGGAATTTATTGGAATGTATATTAATGTTAATCTATCTTCTTTTTGTGATGTTATTTAATTTGGGTTGTTATTGTTCACATATGAAATTGAATGTGATTGATTGTGATTGAATGTGGGTTGGACCACGTTGTACGATGTCGATGTTACGGCGCTCATATTTGATTTCATGTCACATATCTTCCATGCTTTGTTATTTTATTTTTTGTAGAATGTATGCCACGGTTAATGTTTCATTCATTTTGTTGTGCAGGAGATGGACATCATGCTTTTTTGCACCTTCGGTTCATCCACAATTGCTGTTAGGGGTGTTAATGGTTTGACATTAAAACAATTGATACAAAATTTATGTGATAGGTGGGTGGATGTGACACCATCATCGATTTTAATATCTTACAAATTACCGTGTCACGAGAACCAAGTCATGATGTGTAATGATATGGACACGGAAAACATGTTTTCCATTGCAAGGTCCATTGGCGTTACCCATATCAACGTTGCGATTGACTCGCAAAATGAGGTGGATGATTTGAATCGAGGTACTCAATTTAGTAGGACTATGTCTGCAAATCAACTGGTTCCTCACAGTGAACCATTTACAGGTCCCCAACCTAGCATAGATTTGTTGCCTAATTATTGTCGCCATAGTGAGAAAATGTTGATAACAGTTGATTGGTCACACGACATTAGTCATGTAGGCCAATGTTTCGAAGGGGGTGTTGCTGCTTTCCGTTTGGTTTTGTCCAAATATGCTATTGAGTGTGGGTTTGACTTCAAATTTGTTAAAAATGATTTAGTGCGGGTTACGGCAGTGTGCACGTTGCGAGAGCAAAAAGGGTGTTCATGATTGATACATGGAAGGGTTCAAACATACAATGGTTATTTTTACTTGAAGAGGTTGAACAACTTGCATAGTTGTGGTGCTGTTGTTCGCACTGGGAAGAATAACAGACTTAACTCTAAATTGGTTTCCAATGTTATTGGTGATCGGTTATGTGATAAGCCGCTTACACGTCCCCACTGACGTCGTGTTTGACCTTAAAAAGGAGTACGACCTTAACGTTAGTTACCACATAGCATGGTTAGGTGTGGAGAAGGCAAATGACGATGTGTATAGTGACTATCATATTTCATTTGATCAACTTAGGTGGTACGCGGATGCGGTTATGCATTACAACCCTGGGAGTTATGTCAACTTGGATTTTAAGTAGTCTACCGGCCGATTTAAGCGGTTCTTCATTTCATTCAAAGCTTGCATTGATGGATTCAACCATATCTACCCAGTATTGTTTCTTGACGACACTTTTTTAAAAGGGAGATTTAAAGGCAATTTGCTTACAGTGACGGGGAAGGATGGAAACAAAGGTATGTCTCTTACGATGATTTCTTCATACTTTCATATAGTAACGCATTACATTGTGGCTAACCTTTTTTTTTTAGTCCACTACTGTAGTAGGTGATCCCCAATTGGAAGATTGTTTCCAATTTAATGTTATTTTAGTAACATTGTGTGTGGTGCGATTCGAATTGTGAACAATTGTTAATGTGGATGTAAACTTTGTTAAAAATATTTCATTTAACGGTAAACCTTTTGAATCTCCCAGGTTTATTCCCATTAGCTTTTACTATTGTTGACTCTGAAACAACTGCAAATTGGACTTGGTTTTTACAGCAACTGACAAAAGTTGTTAGTAGTACTTGCATATTAATTTTTGTATCCGACCGTAATATTGGGCTGCTTGAATCCTTGCCTGTTGTTTTCCTATCTACACACCATGCGTACTGCTTACAACATCTCTAAGCAAATTTGAGGGACAAATTACGATGGGTTGACAACCGTGTACGTTTTGGTTTAATGGCCAAGTTGCGTGAATGTGCGTATGCTCCAACCGAGGCTTCGTTTCAGTAGCATTGGACGAAGCTAAAAGGAACAAGACGATCTGGAATAAATAATTTCTTGGAAGATATGCCACCGAAGCATTGGGCCAATGCATATTTCAGGTTCGTACGAGACTTACACGTGCTAACATTGCAAGTACCCAATATGTGATAACGTTTTCATTATGTTTTCATAATGTGAACAGGGGCAAACGGTATGGGGAGATGACCTCGAACGCTGCAGAATCATTTAATAAATGGATACCTGATGTGCGTAATTATCCAATCACAAGGTTGGTTGATACACTCAGAAATCAAATAATGACTATGAGGGCTGAGCATAAAGTTTTAGCTTCTAATTGGAATGGGTTACTTTGTCCGAAAATGGAAAGCTGTGTTAGGGAGGCGTACTCCAATGGTTGCATATGGATTGTTAGCCAGTCAAATGAAGACATATATGAGGTCCATTCATTTCCAACGGTGTTGGTAGACGTTGGCAAGCGTTCATGTTCTTGCTTCTAGTGGCAATTGAACGGATTCCCATGTGCACATGCGGTGGTTGCAATATATAGTAGTGGAAGGGATTTCAGTACATTTGTTGAACAATTTTTCACTGTCGATCAGTATAAAGCCGCTTATTTTGGATACATTCAGCCAATACCAACAGTTGACAAGCCCTCTTTCTTGAAAGACGACTTCATCATATATCCACCGGCAGTTAAACGTCCTCTAGAGCGACCCAAGAAGAATCGAATACCATCTCAGGGAGAGAAACTAAGTCAGATTAGTTGCGGTCGATGTGGCCGTAAGGGTAGCCACAATTGAAAGACATGTAAAGAACCAATTTAGTAATAGGCATTTAGCAGGAACTTTTGTAACCTGTTTTGAACAGCAGCATCATATTATCGTAGTAGCATGTATCGAAGCCAATTGATGACAGATTTTAATAAGTGAAGACACTATTTACAATTGATCATTTAGCTATTTTTTCTTTCAAACTGTCTCATTCATATGTTGGTGTTACATGTTTATTTATTTGGTCATGCAAACGTATGTTTCAGACTTGCAAAATACGTTAGACAAAATGTGTTGCACACTGGCCTTGTATGTGAGAAGACATTTATTTTGTAACATAGGTGGCGTTGTTATTGTTTCCGTCTGACAGGTTCTCGTGCAACCAGTTAGTCAATGTTAAATTACAACAAATTCTTGACATATTAAATTGTCAAAGCCAACCAAGATTCCTTCTCACGTTCTCATTCACATTCACCTATACGTTCACATTCACATACAACTACCCATTCGCAATCGCATTAAATTTGGCAATATCATTTACAAAAACACATTCACATTCCTATTTTCCCACTCAGTAAAAAAAGTGCACAAAACTATTACACATTCAGTAGCACAATCTTGCTATTAAATGTAGACAACCAAACCTGTTCTAACAAACACAATCACATCGAATTTCACATTCACTATCACATAAACATAACAATTTACATTCACACAACCACATTTACATTTGTATGTCACATTCGCAAAAGAGTGCAAAACACTGTCATAGATTCACATTTGCATTTTGGGTGTTACAGATATACAACCAAACCTGTTCTGTCATTCACATTCGCATTCCCTGTCACAATCACCATCACATTTACATACAACTTCACACTCACTCAACCAGTTTCACATTTGCAATTTCACACTCCCTAATACAAGTACCAAACACTACCATACATTCACAAACACAATCTGTGTATTAGAAATGAACAACCCACATCGTTTTATGGCATTACCATTCACATTAACCTCACATTATGAGTCAAATTACCAATTACATTCACATTTACGCAACCACATTCACACTTATGTAGTCGACATTCCTACCGCCCTTAAATTCCTATTGACATTACTGAATGACACATAAAGCCATATTAACAAAATAAAGTGCATACAAAAAAAAAAAAAAAAACAATTAACCATTGTTGCCTATTTCCACAACAAAATACACTAATCAGTAATCCATATTGACAATGCAACCGAAAACATCAAAAACTTCCAATTTTTCCTAT